AAGTGGGGCTCACCGGCACCCTAGCTAAAAGCTGAGAGCTCCAGCCCCACCTGCCCAGGAAGGGGGAAGCAGCCAAGGCTACGTGTCTCTCCAGATGAGGTTCATTGGGTGACCCCCTCCCCTTCCCCAGTGAGCCTGGGTTACTTGCCTCTTGTTGCAGATTTTGTCGGGGCATTCAAGGGCTGCCCCAACTTTATTCTGGAATTTTGGGCTTGAAAAGTGAAGGGTCAGCGCCACATTTATAGGTACCTACTGTGCCTGCTGGAAAGCCTCCCATTCCCCCACTGCAGCTACTTTCTTCAGAGCTTTCCTGACCACAATAGTAGCCCCGTCGGAAAAGGGGGGAAAAGTGCCACATTTGTAGCCGTCAGCCACACCTGCTGGGGCTCCTGTTATGGTCAGAAAGGCTCCAAAGGAGGTAGCTGCGATGCGGGGGGGGGGGGGGAGCAGGCTTTCCAGCAGGCACAGCTGGTGCCTAAAAACACAGTGCTTCCCCTCTGCTTTTCAACCCCGAAATGCCAGAATAAAGTTGGGGCGGCCTTTGAGTGCCCCGACAAAATCCACAAGAGGCAAGTTCACTTGTGAAGTTCACTTATTCCTACCACTATCTGTTACATGGCTGCCATAATTAGAGGAATTCATAACAATATTTGCTCTATTGCTGATATTCAGATAATATAATTAGAACAGCTCCAGAAGTACAGACTATAGATCAGAGGTGGGCAACTATGGCCCCTTTATGACTTGTGGACTTCAACTCCCAAAATTCCTGAGCTAGCATGGCTTGCTCAGGAATTCTGGGAGTTGAAGTCCATAATTCATAAAAGGGCCATAGTTGCCCACCCCTGCTATAGATGCTGAGATGTAAATCAAATGTACCAAACTGGGGAATTCTGCAACAGTAATTCCTATCACATAAATCAGTGGTCACCGTGAGGTGGTTCGTGAGAAAATTTTGGTGGGCTGCAGAGAAATGTCTCCCCCAAAGCAATTAATCCAGCCTGTGTGGGAACACAAGGCTACACTGCCCATATGGCCCGCCCACCCGCTGGCCACCACCCATCGGCCAAGGGCAAACCTGCAAAAAGCAGTGCAGCACTCACCGGCCAGGATGGGTTAATGATGCTGGTGAAGCAAGAGGGGGCTGGTAGAATAGGCGGGCTGAAGCGGCAATGGAGATGGCCAGAAGATGCAGGAGTACTATGCTACTTGCATACTATGCTACCTTCCAGCTTGCCACTTCTGGTCTGGGCTCTTCCGTGATGGCCGTGGGCTGTAGGGACGGCCCAAGGCAGGAAAAGTACTGGCTGGTGGTGGTGGGAGGGGGCAGAGTGAGCAAGTCTTCGCTCACCATCCATTTCAGAGGTCCAGAATGGGGCGGCTTGGGAGGTGTTAGTTTTCTCGTCCCTGTCAGCACTCTGCTCTGCTGCCCCACCCCCAGCCATCACTGCCTGGGGAAAGCATAGGAAAAGCGAGCAGAAACATAGTTCTCACTGGGATGAAAGAACTGAGATCAAGGAAGGCACAGGCAAGAGAAGACAGAAGATGCCATCTTTAATTGCCTGTGCTTTCTGATCTCCACTTTTTTGCCACAGCAAGAGCTGTTTCTGCTCACTTTTTTTCCTGTGTGTGGTGGGAGAAACCTGGAGCTTAGCCTCAGGAAGTCCTCTTCTTATGTGGAGGCTGAAAAATGGGGGTGTTGCCTGGTTATTTGGAGCCTGTCTTCCTCAGTGCTTCCAACCCGGTCCTCCTTCCCTCATCCAACTCCAAGCAACCACACCTGGCAAAGGAGGGAGAGGTTTCCTCTGACTTGGGGGAGATATAAAATGACAGGAGACCAGCTTGGGGGTGGGGGACTCTGCTTTTCTTCCATTTGAGTGGGAGTTGATTCCGCCCCATCCAGATCTTCCCAGCCTCCAGGCAGCATGTGGCTTCGTTTGAATCCCAGCAGTATTAAATCTTTCCTCTTTCCCCACAAAGGATGAGAGGTCCCTCCTTTCCTTTCGCTCTGCCCCACAGTTATGATTAAGCATTTAGGATTTTGCTCTAGTTAAATAAGCATACATACATACATATTTCCCCATGTATAAGCCACCCCTTTTTTCCAAAATTTTCAAGCCCAAAAAGTAGGGGGGTGGCATATACAAAGCAGGTACACTTTTTATACGTGAAAAATGCATAAAATAATAAAGTAGGAATAAACTGGTTTTCCAGCAGTATGCTATACTTTTTTGTAAAAATTGTACGTGATGATACGATTACGAGTGCGAGTACGCGATAGAAATGCATACGCTAGGCATCGGCCTGAATGCTTCGTTCCTACTCTCGTTCCGATGCATAGATTGCTAGCGTTGCCCGCACCGCTTTCGGCGTCATGACCGAAGTTGTAGATCTAGACGTCGAATTTTGTTTCTTTGTAAATTTTCTTTCTTCATAACTTGTTTCTCTAATAAAATATTTTTTTCAAAACTTCACAGTCCAAAATTTGGGGGGGTGGCTTATACAAAGGGGGTGCTTATACATGGGGAAATACGGTATATAAATATTTAATATAAAAATAGAAAATGTTCTATTAAATATATTATCCTTTTAAAAAAAATCGTATTAGTGGTCCTTGGGATTTAAAAGTATGAGTTTGGTGGTCCCTGAGATCCAAAAAGGTTGGTGACCCCTGACATAAATTACCATTATGTAAATATGTTTAGAAATCATTCTGAAGGTAAAAATATATACTATTAAACTGCAGTCATCCAAAAAACCCATGAAAATATAATTTCACTATTTGAACTAGACAATTAAAGTGGCTTAAAATGCTTGCATGCTTACAGCATACAAATTAACTGACCAAACCATGATTCCCTGCTGCCCTGACTCAAAATATCTGAACTGACAACTTTCATGTATAATCTTCAATACAGCAAGATCAATGTCACTGTGTATTCTATAATTTCCTATAATAAAAACTCTTGGATTGTCATGCAAATCACATCCTACACATCAGGGAATCTATGCTTAAATGTGCTAAATATTTATATTGTCAATCAGTTCTCTCTAACAGAAGTATTTCAAGAAAAAGAAACCGAAAGTTTACAATTACTTTTCTTATATCCTTTTACTGTCAAAACTACTGAATGTCATTCTTTAACATTACTTTCTGAATCTTCCCCTCAGGCTTACTGACTTATTCTATCCCATTAAACAATGGAAACACTATTCAGCAATTCTTTAGATTGAAGGTAAAAAAATATATTCTGTATTCTCTAAAGTGTAACATTCATTGTCCTTTTGAAACCTGAGATTATTTCTTGTGACTTGAATAACTGCTATCCATGCGGATAAGGATAAAATAAGCATTCGGCATTTCTCCCTCTAGATTTACCATTAAAATTTGAAGGATCTACCTAAGCTTACCTTAGTCTCAAAGGTGCTTTTTCAAAGGCAAATGGCTTATTTTTCCTTGAAGGTGTTTCACTTCTTATCCAGTCATGTTCTGTTTCCTCAAGTAAAAACGGGCCAGTTGCCTTTTGAAAAAGCACCTTTGAGACAACTATGGCCTGAAGGACTGAGAATCTCAATAGACTTTCTCCTTTAGCCACCTCAGAGAACCCATTTTCAGATGCTCAATGTTAGCAAACTTACTATTTTATTTGTCAAACATGTACAAGATAACAAGTATAGCTATGAACATAAACATGAACAAAGGAAGTAAATAGAGATAAATGGGGACACTAAGACAGGGACAGCAGGCACACTGGTGTGCTTATGCACGGCCCCTTTAAGGACCTCTTAAGAATGGGGTGAGGTCCACAGTTTGAGATTGAAGCTGTGAGGGTTTGAGGCTGTAACAAAAGAGTCAAGTAGAACATTCCAGGTGTTGACCACTCTGTTGCTGAAGTCATATTTTCTGCAATTGAGTTCGAAGCAGTTTACCTTGAGTTTGTATAGATTGTTTGCCCGTGTATTATTGTGTTGAAGCTGAAGAAGTTGTTGACAGGCAAGACGTTATAGTAGACAATTTTGTGTACTATGCTTAGATAGGACTGCAGGCAGTGCAGTTCCAGATTGTCCAAGCCCAAAATTTCAAGCCTGGAGGCATAGGGAATTCTATTGTGAGCAGAGGAGTGGAGTACTCTTCTCGAGAAATACCTCTGAATCTACTCAATTGTGTTAATGTCCAATACACAGTGTGAGCTGTATTCAAGAATTGGTCTTGTATGCCTTAGGAGAAGAAGCTTCACAAAGTAAGGTTAACAACTTAATGTGTTTTTGGCAATGCTATTACAGTGAGCTCTGGGGCTTAGATTGTTTGAGATGAGTACTTTTAGGTCCTTGACAGAGTTTCTGCCCAACTTGTATTTGTTCTGATTTTTATTGCCAACAATAAATAGAACAGAGCATTTATTAGTTGAAATTTGGAATTACCAATTACACAACCATTCTGACCAGTCAAGGTTGCTTTGTAGGGCATCAGCATTGTCAGTGGTGTTAAATAATTTTACGTCATCGGCAAAGAGGATGTCACTACTGTTATGCAAAATCAGGGTGACTGCACGCAACCAGTTGTAAACAAAAGAAATCTCAGGCTGCCTTAAACACTTTACTAGAATTAGTTACCACCGTCGCTCTTAAATGCTCTCAAGTATCCGAAGTCAAAGTTTCGCATTTGATTGAACCTATCCGCCCACGGCAGTCTGAGCGTAACTTTGTTACAGACATTCACCAAAAGAACAAAAAACTCCGCCGACTGCGTCGAAGCGATAAGACTATGTTACCAACAACGCCGTTGTCCAGAAACGGAGTTTTTCAAGGATCTCCCGCGAACAAGACCGTATGACGACTCTCCATGCCTCGGAAAGACTCTCTGGGTCGAGCCGGGGCCTACTTTCCCTCAAGTCTGTCCAGGAGAAACGGCGAGGTCGCAGGCCTCAGGACACACAGTCTTTGTCTCCCCTTCACTCCAGCACACGAATACACGCACCCACACCCCTTCGAGTCCTTACCTTTTTCCGTTACGAGCACGGGAGGCCGTCTGACTAGACGGCACCTCCGAACGAGCGAGCGAGCGGAGCAAACGGCCAGTCTCCGTTAGTGCGGCCTCGACATAGAGAGCCTGGGCCTGTCTCCGTGGCGCCCTGCGATCTCTGGGGGAAAAAAGGCCTCACGCGGCAGCAGGAAAAGGAAGCAGGCCGCTTCTCCAGCGCGTTCGCTACAGACCCCGCTGCCGTAGTCACCCGTCCCTCGGCTCCAATGATAAACGGAGAGCAAAACGTCCCGCTGGCCTGACGGAAAGAACACCGCTCGACGATACCACCCAATCACCTTTCGAAAAAGAGGAACAGCGTGATCGGCTGGCAAGCGCGCGACGCTACATGCCAACGAGATACAGCCAACCGGCCCCTGTTGCCCAGAGGCATTCTGGGAAGGTCCTCCAGACGCCTGGCCGAGAGGAGGCGGAAGACTTGGGCAGCTGCGAGCGCGGATCGTTACTCTCCAGCGCCCCCAGCCGGATAAGGAAAGAGGACCGTGTCAGTAAATTCCGCGTTAACCAGGCCTTCAGGAAGTGACGCGGCGCTCATTCGACCTGAGTTGATCTCGATAAATGTAGCGGGATCGGTGGGATGCGGGCTTGAAGGTTAGGCTACGAAGTATTCTCGCGTCCTTAAAAACGGCACGGGCAGGTCTGTCTAATCCCTCAGGGGTTGAGTCCGAATTTAAGGTTTTACTTTCTCATCTGACCTGTTACTGAACTCATCTTCGCCAATCTTGAGGTCACTAATTAGTTTGGGATCTGACTCGTATCATTGCCAAGTAGTTTGAGCCATCGGCGGGAAAATATTGCTCCGAAGCTTTACCCAACATTTAATGTCTTATTTCAATTGAAAGAGTTATTTCCTTAAGGAGTTTAAGATAGTGAGAGATTGAGCTGAAAGGGAATGACTGTTGTACCCTTGGAGGAGTGAATTTGCATTTGGGTCTCCTGTGTGTAAATGTGTAAGTTCCTTAACTAACATCACACTTCCATTGCGAAGTCCTTGCCAACGTTCCTTCCCTTCCAAGTTCATAGGAAGAGAAGAACTAGCTTTAAGGACAGAAAGGCTTCTATTGTTGCTGTCACTTCCAGTTACAAAATACCAAAATAGGTAGCTGATGAACTGAAAAACTAGTTCAAGGAGAGAGCTGATAATCCCAACAAAAGAACCAGCTGCTTAAATTGAAAAAGTCTCATGATGTATAAATCTGTGATTTATTTGGCCAAAGTATTTTTCTTCAAGAAATCCCACTTATGTTCAAAGAAATTACTCTAGGATGTCTCAGACTGAGATCTAGGAGTATAATTCTATATCTGACAAATTGCTGTGTATCTTGAAAATGAATGTAATATGATTTCAAACTACCAATTCTCATTCCAGTATAAGGAGAGAAATCATACTACTATATATAACTGACATCTTCCCTAACACCTTTGCAAATGGCTATGCAATTAAAACGATGATTTGAACACAAAACACAACAAATGCTCTGAGTATCACATTCTGAGTTTTTTGTTATAATATTGCATGTTTTACAGGCTGTTTCTGAAAGTTATTTGTAGGTCAGAGATGAGAAATTCATGGTTTAGTATAGGTTCACATCTTAGGCTAGATGTTCCCTAAACCCTGAGTGGGCTTTAAGGTCAGATTAATAAAAACCAGTAGAAAAATTCCTCGTGATTCAGTGTATTTATTGAAACTATGAAAGGCTTAAAATATTGCAGGAAGATGTATCACGCTTTATGTAAACTAATCTTTCCCCAGCTATAAAAGTTGGATGAAAGTTTCATTATTGTTCTAGTAATGCCCTTTAAAATTATCCCAGTTTAAAAAACATGCAAGTAAATTGAAAGAAAAACTTCCCAATTTTTGGTAGACTAATATTTATTTATTTTGAATTTTATTGTATTTATACGCTGCTTTTATTATTGTTTATAAAAAAAAATCTCAAGGCAGTGAACTTACCTAATACACCTGCCTTCTCTTATTTTCCTCACAACAACTCTGTGAGGGGAATTCGGCTGAGAAAGTGTGACTGCCCAAGGTTACCCAACTGGTTTTCATGGTCAAGGCAGGACGAACTCGCAAGCTCTTGCTTTTTACTTGGTGCCTTAACCACCAGATGAAACCAACCATCTTATACGTTAGCTTGATCACTGAGTCTATGTCTTTGAAAAGAAGTAGACTCCAGGTTATTTTTCAACTGGCAGTCTGTACTTTTTATATTTCACTATTATTTAATTACCCAACTTACCATTTTTTCTCTATAGTGTAAACATATGAATACCTGCTGATGTCACAATGCATTTTATGGACTTTTAGACCTGTCAAACCTATGTCCTAAATGCTGGAGGTGATGGAAGCTATAACACAGACATGTCAAACACAAGGCCTGTAGGCCAGATCCAGCCCACAATGTGGTTAGATCTGGCCTGTGGGGTCGCCTTGGAGATGGCAAGGGGCCAACCCCCGCCACCTCAGCCCCAACCCAGCCTGGCCAGGTGCTTCCGCATGGCGCATGCACAGGAGGCAGCGAACATGCAGGGGCTGGCATCCCAGCTGAAAGGGGAGTGCTCAGAACAAGATGGTCACCAGGCCCTGCGCACTCACTACCTATTGTACACATGCCCAGGAGATGGGACCGAGACAGTGGGGGTGGCCCCCGCTATCTTCAGGCCGACCCCACAGACTAAGTCTAAGGCTGACCATGTTCTAGCCCAGATAACAGCCACAAAGTTGTAGACCAGCGCCATGCCTGTCATCAGTGCCTCCATGGCCTGGTCTGCAGCCCAGCCTCATAGCTGTGAGCACTTCCCTTTCCCTGGGGCTACACCCATCCTTGCCCCTGTATGGGAAAGCCACAGCCACCGGCAGCACGGCTACCGGCAGCACTGCCAACCTCTCCCTGTCACTTCGTCCCTTCCTAGGCACAGAGGGAGGGAGGAAGGAAGGAAGGAGATGGGAATGGGAAGGATGGAGGCAAGGAAGGAAAGATGGGAGAGAAGAAGGGAAGAAGGAGATGGGAACGAAAAGGAGTGAAGCAATGAAGGAGAGAGGAACCAAGGAAATGGGAATGAGAAAGGATTTTTTTTTGTATTAAACTTTCCTTAATCTCAGTGGATAGCAGACATATACTACCATGGAGAACACTACTTTTGTAATGTCAAGGGATAAACTTTATACACACTAAATTTATAAACTATTAAATAAATAATATAATAAACAACTATTAAAGAGTTGAGTCCTTGAAAACAAAGCACTACATTATAAAAAAGCATGGTATTTGGTTGGAAAGATATTCTTGTCTTTAGGGCAATCAAGACCTGAAATAAAATTTATGTATGTATGTATGTATGGCATTCAGCTTTGTTCGGGTATTTTCCCACGTCATTGTAGTTGTGCTTTTAAAGTTGTAGCAACGTTTCAGCAGAATCTCATCTGCCATCATCAGGCTTCTGTATAGTGTTCATATATATATATATTGCTTTGCTAAGTGTTTAGCTAGGTTTTGTAGTGGTGCTCCTCTGGAGCTGACTAAGGCATACCTCTCAGACCCATAGTCAGCTCCAGAGGAGCACCACTACAAAACCTAGCTAAACACTTAGCAAAGCAGCTGCAGCCCCATGCTGAAGCAGCAGCTTCACATGTACAAAACACATATCACTTCTTGGAAGTGATCAAAGATCTACACATGGAACAAGAAGATCTGCTTGTAAGTTTCGACGAGGTTTCACTATTCACTCAAGTCCCAATAAAAGAAACTCTTGAAATCATCAAAAATAAATACCAACCAGATAAACACTTCATGGAACTAGCAGAACACTGCTTAACCAACACATATTTCATATACAAAGGACAAAGATACAAGCAAATCGAAGGAGCCCCTATGGGATCACCACTGTCACCCGTCGTTGCAAACCTGTTCATGGAAGAATTCGAATCCAGAGTCCTGGCTAATGCCACCCACAAACCCAAACTATGGTTAAGATACATCGATGACACATTTGTGATTTGGCCCCATGGAAAAGAAAACCTAAACAATTTCCTAACACACCTAAACAGCACACACCCCAAAATCAAGTTCACCATGGAAACAGAAACAAACAACTACCATTCCTAGATGTACTAATCTACAAAAAAACAGATGGCACACTAGGACATACCACATACCAGAAGAAAACACACACCAACCGCTACCTCAATGTCCAATCCCACCACCACCCAGCACAGATAAACTCTGTGGCCAAAACACTAATCCCCAGAACCAAACGCCTGGCAGACAAGACACACATAAAGACTGAACTATGCACCCTGACTAAAGTACTGACAGCTAATGGCTTCCACAAAAGCAAAATCACCGGCTTGATCCACAAAAACACACTGAGACATAATGGAGACCTAGAAGATGAACAGACCTACGGAACAGCTGTCCTGCCCTACATAAGAGGTACTACAGACAAAATCAGTAAGATACTACACAGGCATCACATCAAGACTGCCTTCAAAACAGACAGAAAAATAGCAGCCATCCTAAGAAACCCCAAAGATAAAATTGACCTGGAAAACCAAGGCATATATGAAGTCCCCTGTGCATCATGCCCTGCCACATACATTGGACAGACCAATAGAAGAATAAGTACCTGCCTAGATGAAAACAAAAATGCAGTAAAAAAGCTGGAACACACTTCCTCACTAGTCCAACACATGAAAGCAACAGGTCATAGCATCGACTTCAATGGCACCAAAACCCTAGCCATTATAGAAAACTCCAGCCACAGAATTATCAGAGAAGCCATAGAGATTGAAAAAAGACCTGAAAGCATGAATAGAAGAGATGATTCCACCAGACTGTCAATTATTTGGAAGCCTGCACTCACAAACAAAAAAAAACTCCACACCACAAGCCAGGCAAACACCTGGGCATGAACAGATTCCTCCCTGATACCTCCAGCTCAAACACACCCCAACCAGGCACCCAGATGAAACCTAGCTTCCTAATAAATGATAGCTATCCATTTACTCAGAGCCAAGCCGCACTAAAAGCCTCCAATACAGGAACACAATGTTGCCAGCCAATCAAGACCAAAAAAAGCCACAAAACAGACAGAAGATATTAGAAACACCAATCAAGCAGAACACAGCAAACTCCAAGACCAATAAACACAGACCAAGACTCCCAACCAATCAGGATGAAGAAAAAAACATTCTGGCACAGCAGTAGGCTAGCCCCAAATTTAAAACTGAAACTGCTGTGAAAGTCTGACTCACAGACGAACACAATACAGAAGCCTGATGATAGCAGATGAGATTCTGCCGAAATGTTGCTACAACTTTAAAAGCACAACTATAATGACGTGGAAAAATACCCAAACAAA